ATGAAAATTAATTTGGTTTCGATAGTGAAGCAATATACTATTAAGCAATTGATTACTCATTTTTCCATGAGATGAAGAAATTCTTGTAAAAAACTTCAACTGTTTATAATATAAACAGTCTACATTTTAGTTACTAAAATGTTGACTTGATTTCTCTTATCAATATAGGCAGATAACATTTTAAGAAGCTCAGCGACTGTTACTTGCAAAAACTTGCATATTCCATATTCAGTACAACGCATCGAGACTTGTCGTTGTCGCGCCGGCCGCCGTTCCGTCCGCAACGCTTGTTCAGACGTGCAAATTAATACGACTTGTGGTGTATGTGCTAACAATCTTGCATGAACGGGTTTGATTCTTCACCAATATAAATACGAATGTCAAGGATAATCGTTACTCATTTGTTTCTGGAATTTCATAAAGAAAAGTGAATCGATATTAGTGTTGGCCAGTGACTGAATTTGTTTCCAGACTTTCGAAAAGAAAAGTAAAGTGAATCGATATTAGTGATTGCCAGTGTCGGAAAAGTAAGTACCTACCTGCCTATTTGTTATATGCATATAGTTTTAAGCCGAGAAAGATTGAACTTACCGTCCCTACTTTATTTTTATTACCTATCTAATTCATTTAATTATTGCGGAGTTTTGATATCAAAATAATGTTTAAAAGTTTCTATAGAATTTACAGAAATATATTAAAATATAATTAAAATAATAATTTTATATCACATTAAAATAAGTTCAGCAGTTTTCATAAAACTCCATGGATCTTAGCGATTTATTGCTTTTAATAATTAGAAACAGTTTGCAGCCGGAACTTTGTTTATTTCATAATATTTATAATAATTGATTAATCATATTATGTTAAAATAGCCATATCCTCTTAAGTTCGAATCACCTTAAGATTACTAGAACAAATTTTTTTTTATTTATTTACTTACACATTTACAGGTAGGTAATTGATACAAAACGGCCGAATCTAAGAAGTGTCGTCAGTACAGTGTTGAATATTTAAAATTTGGGTTTCTTCCATCAAAGGCAGACAAACGATTGCCCACATGCCTTTTATGCAACAAAGTTTTGAGCAATGACTCTATGAAACCATCAAAGCTGGAAGATCATCTAAGAAGATGTCATCCTGATAAAATAGGTAAAGATTTGAAATATTTCCAAACATTAAAGGAAAAATATGAAAAGAGACCCACCATGCACAGTATGTTCTCTTCAACGTCTGAAAGCAACGATGATGGCTTGCGGGCATCTTACAATATCTCATTACTTATCGCAAAATCTGGAAAACCGCACACCATTGGAGAACAGTTAATTTTACCTGCTATTGAAGAGGTTTTAAAAACTGTTCTGTACAAATTTTTATTTGACATACTCAAAAGAATTCCTTTGAGTAACAACACTGTACAAAGACGTATTGATGAAATGAGCTCTGATGTTGAAAGTTTATTGTGTGATTATCTACGAACTCATTTTTCTGTTCAACTGGACGAGTCAACTTTACCTGGTAATGAACCATTATTATGGGCGAAGAAATTCACGAAGAGCTACTATTCGCGAAAAATTTGAAGACTGACACTAAAGGTGAATCAATATTTAATGTTTTGAGTGATTTTTTTTTAAATCGATTCCATTCACAAACACGTTATTTAGGTGGCAACAGATGGAGCTCCTGCCATGGTCGTAGGTTTATAAGCCATCTTAAAAGAATTATACCAGAGGTAATTGCGATTCACCGTGTTATCCACCGAAAACATCTAGTAGCGAAAAATTGGAGTGATATATTGCACCAATCGCTTCAATTTGTGATTAATGCAGTTAACAAAATAAGAAGCAATGCATTGAATACGCGTTTATTTGCACAATTGTGCGATGAAAATGATGAAGACTTCCAACGATTGCTGTTACATACCAAAGTACGCTGGTTGTCGAAAGGTGCATGTTTATCAAGATTTTATTTACTTTTTTACTCACTTTTAGAGTTTTTGGAAAGTAAAGATCCTGATTTAAAAAAAACTTGATCAATTTTAAAGCAGACATCGCGTATTTGACAGATTTGTTCAAAAAATTTAATGACCTCAACTTACAATTACAAGGGAACAGCCTCAATTTAATAAAAACAAAGAATGTAATTTTAGCTTCTCTTGGTAAATTGAAACTTATGAAGGAAAATATTGGTCGGCGCGAATTTTCACAGTTTTAAAACTTGTCGCAGGTAGAATGCCTTGATGAAGATATTCAGACATACGTTCAACATTTGATTGCCCTGCATGATGATTTTAAATTCAGATTTGAAGATATTCTGTCGATGGAAATACCACCATGGATCATAAATCCATTTGATGAAACGGAAGTGGAGAATGTGATATTAGAAGAGGAGCTACTCGAGCTTAGCACTAATGAGGCGCTGAAAGTGACATTAAAAAAAGGGTATCAAAAATTTTGGCTGCAGGCAGAAATACCCGAAAAATATCCTGGACTGTGGGGAATTGTGCAAAAGCTTCTGATAGCGTTTCCTTTGTCATATCTCGTCGAAAAAAGTTTTAGTGCCGTAACAAACTTATTAACAAAAAAAAAGGAGCAGATTGAATATCACAGAAAAGGGAGATTTACGGTTATTCCTTACAAAACTCAACCAAATATTGAAAATTTGCTGTCAATCCCTCTCATTATTTTTTTTTGTAATTACCATTGTAGAAATTACATTACGTTATAAGTGGTTAATTTTAATTATATTACGACGGGTATAACAATAATAATAGTGTAATAATTTATATATTTAAATTTAAATAAATACCTACAACACAAGGAAATATACTATATTACTTTTTACCACTCCGAATGGGACGTTTTCTAAATACAATTTATGAGAGCTGTCAGTCACTGTAGATTTCAAAAAAGTAAAGTTGGATGGAGTCACTTTTTCGTTTGGCCAACTTTGCTTTTTTGACATCCACTCACAGCACAATCAATTAAAATTTAATTGAAAATTTGTTTAGTCGACTTTTTTATCAAATAATTAACCCTATCAAGCAATCAATTCTAACCTTTTTTTTTTTTTTTCGAAAACTGTTAATTCGTCGTTTCCATAGATAGATCTAATCTTCACTTTTTTTTTCGAGATTTAGAAATTGGTAGTGATGTAGCTACAGGGGGTCCACCGGATCCAGCAAAATTTTGAAAGTGGTCTATGAAACAAAAGAGTGTGAATATCTCGAAAACCAATCACTTTATGAGTTCCCAACGAGAGTACATTATTTATTTAAAAAACATCAAAAAATGTAAAAGTATAGTCCAAATAAGTTTTTGTACAGAGGTGTAAATGATTGTTTTGCTGATCGCTGTATCTTATGACACCAAAAATGTTTACCGAATTTAGTAAAATTATACTGAGAAATAAAATTGCTGCTTTCTATATCGTTCATATTTTCTGTATTGTTTTAACTTTAAACATTGTATAGTTGCAAGAAGACACATTTTCTACTAAGTTATTTTTTGCATTTCTTCTATTAAATTTATAATCTCATAATGTACATAGATTTTATGTTTGAGTAGGACTAATACTGAAAAATCTTTAAAATGGAATATATTCTACGGAGATCAACTAGTCCCTTTTTGTGACAAATTGCATGAGGAATAATTCTTAACTTTTATAGGGTGTTTCAAATAGTTTGGATTAAAATTTTGTCTTCATAAGTCTTTGATTCTACGCCAAAACGGGTTATCGTAATTTATCGAAATAGGATGTGTAAACCAATAATGGTGATTAACGAATATGAACATATTATTAAGATAAAATATTTTCAGTAAAAGAAGATAATTAGAAAATTATGTATTTATGAAATTCACAATACCCTTATCAATCTAAATTTAAATTCTTAATTCCTTATTATAATGAATATGACCTAATTTGGAAACTGTTTTTTATTTTTCATTGTTTAAAAACGTTTTACAAAAAAAAATTGATATTTCCTCGAACAGAATAAGGGGATTTGTACTTAAATTAAAATCAAATTAGTTTGATTAGATAATACTTTTAGAGAGCCTTTGTTGATTTGGATTTATCAAATAAAAAATATTTATATTATATATATTTTGTCTAAAATGTTATCTTGTTAAATACTCATGCATTGGAGGTGATGGGAAGTCAAATAGTTCTCAAGTATATCAAAAATAAAAAGATTCCTCCATTATATGTTTATAAGATTAGAAAATTTCGCGCGTTTAAAAATTTAAGCAGGAGGTACCTATAACGCGTAAAATAAAGTTGTAAAATTGAAAAATATGGATAACTCATGAAATCTATCCTTTTTTTTTCGAATGTATAAAAAAAACGCTAAGAAAAGGTAGGTAATGGGAGAAGTTTATTTTTGTCTTATTTGACCACCCTTTTATTCTACGAAAAGCGGAGCCGCAATAAATTATTTTTAATTAATAACAATAAGAATTAGTTTTTCTGAATTCTTCTGTGGTTAATTTTACATTAAAGGTAAAAAGAAGTTAACATTTTTTTTTTTCATTTCTCAGATCTTAGAAATATTTTTATTTTGAAAAAATAAACAAATTTAATTGAGTTGTTTAAAAAATTGATAATAGTAAATCAAAGCTAATTTACATTATATTTTTAAATAGTTAAAAAACGAAACTGTCAAACGCACCTTTCCCATCGGAGACGTCATGGTTCAATAACACTTGTGTAACTAGAAACGATTATTCTTCAATAATTTTAAACAAATAAGATAACCTCACTAACCATTCTCCTGAAATGCCGCAACACTACTAACATTTCTGTACAGTGCAACTCTGCGTCGGATCATCAAATTTCGCAAATCTCAGCTCCAGATATATCGTGAAATAATCAAGTTTTTTGTACGTCAAACTGGTTCCCTTTGAATTTGAACGGCTTTACAGGTTTTTTGCACTTTATTATTCGTACTGGTCATCTTGTGAATTATTCCATGCAAATATATGTACTTTTATTCTTGTACTTACTTTCACACGTGGTGGTATCGATTTTATTTTGGTACAAGGGTTGTGAAAAATGTTTGCAACGCGCCAGGTGTCCGAATGTGCTCTTTTTTGCAAGCATATTTTTTGTATATTTGCACGTGCAATAATGGTTGTTTAGAAATCTAGTAGTAGTTTATTCGCTCATATATACAGGATGATTCTAAATAACTATATTCTATTCTTTTATAACCAAGATACAAGGTGATTTATAAAGTTTGCTCAGTTTTTCAATTATTCATGACTTTACCCATACAGCACAAACACATTTCGGAAATATTTCAACAATGTTACATCTTACTTACTTACAAAATCTTTATTTACAAATTTTTATAACAATCTATTACAACATAAATATATACAAATTGCAGAGGGATTTCTTCTAGATGATCCCGGAAGTGTTCCAGTTCTGCTATGACCCCCAGCGGAGCCATGACCGATGTCGTGGCCGTATACCTACGTTGTTTTAGTTAAAATTATGATTGAAACATTTGCAATGTTGTATAAATATTACGAAACATCCCAGAAACACTTACAGTAATATTTCTGAAATGAAAATTTGAAATCTTATAAAAATACTAAATAGTAATATTTCAGAAATGTATTCTAGTTTTTAAGCTATTGCATAGCTTTTATCGCGGGCTTGAGTGCGGCAACCGAATCAAGAAATTCCGTAACGACCGTAACGAAAAAAAACCTAACACCCCCCACTCCGACCGGTACAGCGGTGCGGCGTTAAACAATATTAACTTCTCATTTATTCAATAAAAGAAAATCGAAAATTCGAAAAAGCGAAACAGAAATTCCGTGAAGAAAATAAACCTAACACCCCCCACTCCGACCGGCACAGCGGTGCGGCGTTGAAAGCCGTGCATCGTCTAACGTCGTTTCAGTTGGGCAGACTTTGGCACGGTGTTTGTGTGGGCGCGACTAGACGTATGCGTGTTGACTAGCTACTAACTGATTCTATCTCTTTTAGACACAATTTCGGAAAAATTGAATTTGAAAATGAATAATGATCCACAAGAATCCACAACAAAATATGGGACCACCATTGACCAGATATTTAGAGGATATCAAGTCTCAAACTTATGTTTCTTATTTCAGGTACCATAAACCTATAGTTTCAATGATAAAAATTCCTGAATAACCTACATGTATTGTAAGATAATAAAAATATTTTAAACAATATTAACTTCTCATTTATTCAATAAAAGAAAAAAAATTGTTTTCTTATCGGTCACCACGTTCAAAAAGTGTAACTTGAATTAATATTAAAGAAAAAACCTGAATTAATATCAAAGAAAAAAAATACTGCATAAATAAAATAAATAAATAATTATAATTGCATAAGTTGATAAAAAATGCTATGCAATAGCTTTACCGCGGCAGTCCCCGAGTGCCACGAGTATTTTTAATATTTATTTCTAATATATTTTGTTAGACTAAAAAAAGACATTTAAAAATATACATGTTTATTTAAAATACACAAAACTCAAAACATTGATTCTTAAACAAATAAATAAATATGTTTTAAAGAATAGTTCATAAAATATAGAAGCGAATTGCTTCATTTCCACCAATTCCTTTAAATGCACTAATTTGAAACAACTAGGTTTTTTTAATAAATGCTCCAAGTAAAGAGACATTTACGATTATTATAATCTCGTCATTAAGATCAATTAGCAATTTTATTTTTACCTACTTATCTAGGAATGAAAAAATTCATAAACTAAGATTCTACTCACTATATAGTGTACTTTATTAACTACCGTTAACGTATAAAACTTAACCGCACTATACTCTGTTTAATCCATCATCACTGAACTAACTCAAAAGGCCTGGTTCTCTTGAGTCTTCTTATTAGATTGAGATTGTTGAGGAGCTAGATAATCTCAAGGTTTCCATGTTGGAGCAGTCGTTGTTGGTGACTACTGGCAAATTTTTGTATTGTGTTTTAACAGTCTCCACTTTAAGGTCCCTATGAAGTCAGCATTACGGCAGTACCAGGATGCATCGACGATGTTTCTTAATACTTTATTCTGGAAACGTTGAATAGGTAACTTGGATGTTATCTTTACTGGCACAGCCCCAAAGCTGGCAAATTGCTTCATTTCCACCAATTTTCCTTTAAATGCACTAATCTGAAACAAAATATAAGTAATTAAAAAGGATTTACACAAATTATTTGATTAACAATAGTTGTATTAATATTGTTTTAAATTAACTATAATAAAACAATAGGTACTCATGTCTAAACAAAACATGAAGATCCACCTAAGCAAGCATTATTTATGTAGTTCTCACCTTAATTTGTAAAGACATATCCTGCTTCCCATGTAACAAGTTCACAACGCATGAATATCAAAAATCAACAACTCAAATTTATAATTATTTAGAATATAGACTTGTTTCTAGCTGGTGGCTGGACAGGGACATGAAATAAAATAACTACATATTCCATCTTCTTCTTACAAATCAGAAATTCTTGATTAATTGTTGGCCTTTTACAATATAACCCGTTTAGTAACCTTTTGTGTAACATGTATACCATGTTTCAGAAACATTTTCAGTGAAATATTTAACTAAAATATTTCAGAAATATTTTAGAAACTTATGCTTGAAATGTTATATGTTTGAAACATTTGAAATATTTCTGAAACACTTCTGAAATAATGTGTGCTGTATGGGTAATACTCATTACATATATATTCTATGTCTAGCTGCCAAATAGCGTATGAATAAAAGTGTCTGATGAAAGTTGACATCCAGGTAAGTACCTATACTTAAAAATTAACAAATTTAATTCAGTTTAAAACACTTAAAAATATATCAGGATTTTGAAAATTAAGTTACACTGTCTTTGGTATTTTGGTATGACTGATGGTTTCGAACTTTTTTGTTTATCAATTCTTACTAAATTGAATAATAGTCTATAACACACGAGTAATAAAGAAAATATTTCAAGAATACCTACCAAAAGTTTCTAAAACAAAAACTCAAAGAAACTATTTTTATTTAGGACCTAGGTTGTACAATACAGGGTGTTTTATTGGTAAATGGGCATATGTTAGCGGCGTATAGGGATCATTTAGGTGACTCCAAAAAACCCATACTTCATGGGTCTGTCACCTTTATCAACTTTTCCGATTTCTTTCTAGACTCATAACTTTGAAACACGCTGTATATTTTTTGGATATTTGGTTTACAAATATAACTTAACTTGTCAAATTCAGTGACGTAATAATAATAAGGAAAATCCAGGTCCAGATTAACAAAGAAATTACAAATTCTTCGATACCTACTTCTTTATACAATGCTTAAACGTCCCGTACTTGTAACGATAGTGTAGTAATATTTGTTAAAAATCTGATGTGTCCAACACATGACTTTCCTATCTAGTTATTATAGGCTTTTTCCGGTTATTTTGTACAACCTATTGCAGCACCTCTGTAAATGTTTAGAGGATAAACTAAATATATACATTTTCCACAAACATCTACCTCGAAACATTTTTCTATATTCATTGAAAACGAAAATAATGAAAAATTTAAATTTAGCACTTTTCCTCCAATTTTTCCATTACGGTCCATTTTAGAAAAATCATGTATAAACAAAAATTATAGAGATCGATATCGCAAACAACTTTTAGTTCAACAATTTTCATAAAAATCAGAATTTTACACATTTTATCAAATTTCTCGAATACGGACCATTTCAGGAAATTTTGACATTAAGCAAAAATTATAGATAATAATATTAGAAGTAACTTTTATTTGAACAATTTTTTTCTCCAAACATAAATAACAGATATATTCCATAAAATATAAAAACGGCCTACCATAAAGTACCCCCCAGATATTCCGACTTTGTCCAAAATCTAATCATTTCACGTCAGGCCGAAATAAAACTTAAGTTTAAAATTTATTGTTTTTTTCTTTATCCGTTTTTTGAGTTTTCTTCAAATTTCGAAATTTACACATTTTCTCAAATATCTCGAATACGGACCATTTTAGGAAAATTTTGTATAGAACAAAAATTTTAGATAGATAATAATATAAGAAGTAACTTTTATTTGAAGAATTTTCTTCCCTAAACGTAAATAACAGATATATTCCATAAAATATAAAAATGACCACCTATAAAGTACCCCCCCAGATGTTCCGACTCTGCCCAAAATCTAATCATCTCATTGGACGCTGGAGCAAAGCTTAAGTTTAAAAATTTGGTGTTTTTTTGTGTATCGGTTATGAAGACTATAGGTAAGGGGGCGAATCGGCAATGGTCAAATTTCCGTCCTTCTTTTTATAAAGTTCGCGAAAGTGGCTGTAGTTGGCATGTCTAATGACAACGCATTCAATACAAGTAACATGAGTGACAAAAAACATCAAAGCAAGATTTACGTCGTTTCAGATTGTAAAACAGGATAAAAATCAAATGTAAAACTAAAGAAAACACAAGAAGAAATCAATTCAATGTCTTTTTAAAGCTTTTAATTGCTGCGTTTGAGAATCCACATCGGATGCATCTGAGATGTAAAAAATCTTTGATCACGTGGTTCAGTATACGTAAATGTAATGGGACAGATGTGTCCGATGTGGATAAAAAAACGCTCGAGATGTAAAAAATGCATCCGATGTGGATTCTCAAACGCAGCAAATGTAAGTAAAATATGTATTGATGTCTAAATATAATATTTATTGTAAACTAGTCACAATGTATCTTACGAAGTGTAGTTTATTTTAATATAAGTTTCTATAATATAAAATTTTACAGTTATAGATACTGACTTACAAACAATAATAATTATGCATTAAATTTAACTTACTAGAAAAGAACATTTATTTTTTATAGAGTTTTAATGTTAGATAAAGAGTTGCTACAGTTATTTTTTTTTGACCCCAATTGTGTCACTGTAAGAGCGCTTTCACACGAAGATACTGTATACGAGATACGCGTATCCGAGATTCAGGCTGACCATACATTCAAATGGACCTATTCACACGGTACGGGCGACGCATACAGTATCGCGATACGGAATTTCTGTATCCCAGCACCGTCAGCCGCGGACGCTGAATGCGT